ACCATCAGGTTGCTCGCCAGTTTTGGACCTTGGACACAGACATGGAGGAGGAGTGCAAGGAGGACTGGATCTCGCGACTCCTTACAATCAGCGACGAGAGCCCGTCGCCCGCCCCGAAGGCAAAGCGAGGAGGCAAGGCCGGTCGTGGAGGAGCATTGAAGGCCAGTTTTTTAGGGTGTCGTGAGATGAAGACTTCACAGTACACCCAAAACCCTAAACCCAAATATAAACCCGGCCCTAAACCATAAACCCCCGCCTAAACCCTAAACCCTAAGCCCTAAGCCCTAAACCCTAAACCCTAAACCCTGAACCCTAAACCCTAAACCCTTATCATGCCCAAATGCAATGTCGCCCACGTCAGGCGAAAGCGAATCCAAAGAAGAAGGCCTTGCTGCCCGATGCCCAGACACCTGATGTCACGAAGGATGCTGAGAAGGCCGAGTCTGGGCTTTAACCACCCGAAACCCTAAACCCTAAACCCTAGACCCTAGACCCTAAACCCTAAACCCTAAACTCTACCCCAGCCCAAACCATAACACTAAGCCCTGGAGGTCGTTGCCAGGGCCAGCACTCGCATCCAGGAGATCTCGAAGCTAAGCATGAAGTCGGCTCAGCTTGAAGACATGCCACTCTGACGATTTATAAGCCTCAGCCCTAAACCCCAAACCCCAAACCCCAAACCCTAAACCCTAAACCCTAAACCCTAAACCCTAAACCCTAAACCCTAAACCCCCTTCATCAGCCCGGCAGGGGGGAAGCTTTCCGCAAAGCATACTTGGACGACCTCCAGAGCAAAGTGAAGGACATCTCGAAAGCAAGGAACCGGCTGCAGGTCCTCATCGATGGGCACAAGGCCCATGATGCAAGCCATGCCCTAAAGCAAAACCCTAGGGTTCAGGGTTTAGGTTTTTGTGTTTAGGCCCCAAGTAAAACCCCAAACCCCAAACCATTCAGGAAGCTCCATAAGCCCAAAGCCCTTCCCTTTCAGGAGAAGGACATCCCGCCACAGAAGACCATCCTGGAGAACCTGCTTGCTGCCACAGATCGCCTCCTCTTGTCGGCCAAGGGCCACAGTGAGGATGCAACATCCTCAGGGGCGAGGAGCAAGGGCTCCAGGTAGGATCGGCTTGTTCTGGGCTATGCCAGGTTGATGACCAGCATATATCCGTGTATACAAGCCCTGCTAAAAGCTCAACGAAATCATCCTGGCCACATGCTGAACCAACATAGAGCCTGGACACACTCTTGTGTGTCGGAGCTTGCCATTGCAAATCCTGTGCCACCGAAAAGGTGTGACCGGGTTCCAGCTCGGCAGGTGGGGTTCTTGCAGGGGAGTGTGCGAACCCATAGGACCTGCTGCTTAGAAGCAGGCAGCTACCAACCGACTCCTCGCAGGAAAAGAATCAGGGCTGTAGCTGGCATGGTGCACCACACATGAAAGCCCTAAACCCTAAACCCTAAACCCTGAATTTCATGCCAGGCAGCACAGATCTGGAGGAAAACGCGCCCTTTTTCCTCAACATGCTGGAGGAAATCGGAGATGGGGTTGCCCTACCAGATTCAGTAGCAAACCAACAAAGCCAGGACGCCCCAAAGAAAGCCCTTGCTGAACACAGCCTAAACCTTAGCCCGAAATAGGGTTTAGGGTTTAGGGTTTCGGGTGTCGGGTTTAGGGTTTCGAGTTTCGGGTTTAGGGTTTAGGATACGAAATCAGCCGGAGTCACTAAGACCAGAAAAAAGCCCTGAAATTCCATTACCAGTTGATGCCCAGGCTTCCAGCATTACCCAGCAGATGAAATCAGCTCGGGCTGCAGTCAAGGACCATGGCCAAGACATCTATTTATACCAAGCAGGGCTTGGGGTTCTGGGCTTTTCGGGTCCTAGGTTGAAATCACCTAAACCCTAAAGCCTAAACCTTAAACCCCAAACCCCAAACCCTAAACCCTAAACCCTAGGCCCATCCTTGCATTTCTCATGGAGGGGGGTCCGTTCAATTCCCAAGGATTCCCATGGTTATTCCTCTGCAGCCACCAAGAAGCTGGCTTCCTACAAGGGCTCTGCCAACGATGCTCGAAACTTCGCTCGCTTTGCAAAGATGCCCTTGGTGACATGGCTTAGTACGACTACACTAAGGGTTTAGGGTTTGGGGTTTAGGGTTTAGGGTTTAGGGTTTAGGGTTTAGGGCTCATTGCCTCAAGCCGACACTGAGGATATGCAAATGGTTGAGGTGCCGGTCAAGCTGACTGACTTCAAAAACAGTACAAGGCCGGTACCTCTCTACAATGCTGCTGAGCTCCTGAAGTTTCTTTTTGACGATGTTGGTATTATGGTTTCGCACCAGGCTGTGGAGCGATACTGGAGACACGCCATACAGGCAGGGGTTCCCTGGGCGAAGAACTACAGCCAGCAGCCTGGTGGGTGGCCCATCCCCCTTAAACTCTTCGGGGACGATGCCACTTTCAATCAGTGCCTAGGTCTTTATTAAGGGTGGGGCAAAATGTTCTGCATGTCAGGGCTTGGCGGGTTTGGATTAAAAGGGTTTAGGGGAAGGTTTTTTTTCCCCTTTCCAGGATGGGTGATAAGACCCTGGCCTTGGTTTTGAGCTGCCCTCTCTGGAGACCGAGATCGGCTAGGAATAGCCGTTTCGTCTTGACTGTCCTGCATATGGCCGACTACCTGGGCTGGCCAACCCTGAAGCCAATTCTCCACCGTGTAGTGGCTGACCTCAATGAAGCTCGCAGGCCATTGACGACGACCGGCCGATGCTTCATGGTCACTGAGATTGGTGGGGATTGGAAGTACTTCAGGGAGGCCCTTTCCCTGAAGAGTCACTGGAATGCCCCTTTGATCTGTCACCACTGTCGGATTGCCAGACAGAACATCGACCAGCTTCCAGGCCAGCTGGATTTCCGAGGCACGGCTGCATTCTTGAGCGAGGTGAGCAAGCCCAGTGCCTCGCCCTTGGTGCTGCTCTCGGATTTCCACCCTTCGAAGATTACTTGGTGTATTCTCCACAATCTCTACCTCGGGCTGAAGCTTGGACGAAAAATTGGAAAGTTTTCTAGGCCTGGGCCATCCTGGGCCACCAGACAAGAATAGACCGATGAGACCGTTAAGGCTCTGGACAGCAAATGGTGGAGCCATGGCTTGCCTCCTGGACCTTGGATGGTGGGGGCCCGTGGGGACCGACTACCGTGTGAGACTTCGCAAGGCTTGGGACAACTTTTGTGCCTGGAGGTCCCGAAACAAGCTGGCTTCTTCGCAGCGACCTTTCACTTCTGGAATGCTTTTCAAAGCCCAGCACGGTGCATACTTGGTTGGAAAAGGATTTAACAGCAAGATCCTGGCTGCTTGGCTGGCAGAGGAGGCAAAACTGGCTTTGGATGCTACTGCCAACCCGAGCAGCGAGCTCACTCTGATGACCCATGCAATGCTGCTTGGTCCCCTGTGATCGGCTTTTGCACATTCCGTGCCATGGGGAGTTTTAGCATGGCCAAAAGAACCCACTAAACCCGAAACCCTAAACCAGGCTCTCCATCGCTCGCTATATGGACCTCTCCGATAGCTATGGCCGGTTTCTGAGCCTTGTCTCCCTTATAAGGCTTTTTTTTGCATTCCCTAACCCCCAAAACCGAACCCTCGAAGCAACGAAGGACGGCCGAGGAAGCAGACAACCTGTATGCATCTGGAATGGCATTCCTTCGGTCGCATGTGGCCCTGACGAGGATATGCCAGAGGACAGCTGTGATTTGTAGTAATGGCCCGGGAATGTTTTTTTTCATGAATTCCATGCAGGAAACGGCTGAAACGATGGCTCCTGAAGCCAAAACTGCATGTGCCCTGCTCAGCCTTTTCAGCCTTTTCCCCCTGAAACAATGCCATTTGCTGATAGCAGCCGAGGGTTTCCATGAGCAACTTGTCATGACCAGAGATTGGCGAGACTGGCCAGCACCCTTAGAAACCCTGAAGGGTGTGACTTTGGTTTAGGCTTTTGTAGCCTTGGGACCCTGTTGCTCGAGGACTGAACCAGAGGCATCTTCACGGTGCCCTGGACGAAGACCAGATGGGGTACCTCAAAAGAGCCTTGGCTGCACTAGAGACCCTTAAGCCCTGAACTGTTTCCGCCAAACCTGGGACTGAGGGCTCTCTGCTCGGGTGAAGAGGAAGGCGAGCATGGAGCGAAGTGTGCTCAAGCTGGCAGGCTTTCGCTGCATGGCGATGAAGTACAAAATTCGCCGGCTGGACCTAAACGAGTCTGCTCGAAAGCGAGCCCGGGTCTGAAAAAAGAACTCGAGATCGGCAGGGTTTAGGGTTCAGGGTTCAGTGTCCTCGGGGTGCTACCTTGAGGCCTAAACCCTTAACTCCAAGCCCAAAATCCAAGGGTTGGTACCTTAAGCCTTGGCCTTAAGCACGAACCCCAAACCCCCAGGGTTAGGGGTTGATTCACTGAACCCTAAACCCCCTGAGGGACCCTCAACCCCAAGCCCCAAGCCCAAATCCAAACCCACCAAGCATCTGAGGTAAATCGTGGCTTTGGGGCCGAATGGCCCGGAAAAGTTATCGGAGGTAAATCGTTGCTTTTTCAAGAAACGTCCTTAAACAACCAAGGGGGTTAAATATAGTTTTTTTGGGATGGGTCATGTCTATGAATAGCATTGGTATGCAAATCCCGTTTTTCGGCTGTTCGACGAGCGACCGGGAAAATCCTAGTCTTTGTGGCAACGGCCTGGTTTTCCATGGCTTTAGGAAGGTCAGGGATAATTATGAAAAAAACAATCAGGGCTTGTAGGGTTTAGGCGCCTAGACGGGCTAAGGTGTAAGGCTAGAGGTACGAGGAAAAGGGAAAAGGCAAGTGGTGGGTGAAGTGTTGGGATTGAGAGCTTATGGGTTTGGGCTTTACAAGGATTAGGGTTGGCGTTCAGGGAACCCTAAACCCTAAACCCTAAACCCTAAACCCTAAACCCTAAACCCTGTAAACAACCGCGATCTCAGAGCGGGACATGGTCAGCAAGGCCACTGTCTTCCCCTTCGCGATGTCAAGCACCGGGCCTCAAGGCAAATGTTCGGGTTCAGGGCTTTGGGAAACCCTAAACACTAAACCCTAAACCCCAAACCCTACACCCTAAGCCCCAAACCCGAAGCCCTAAACCCTAAACCCCTGAATCGCCAAACATTCATCCCGTTGCTGCGGCGCTCTGTTGGGAAGCCGACGGGCAGCGTCCAGGTACAGCAAGGCCTGGGTCGTTTAGGGTTTGGGTTTAGGGTTTGAGGTTTGGGGTTCAGTCTTCTAGGGGTTTCGGGGTTTAGGGCTTCTAGGGGTTTAGGGTTTGAGGGTTTCACGTCTTCGGTTTTAGGGTTTTAAGGATTACTGTTTGGTTTAGGACTTTAAGGTTTAATGTTTATAGGGTTTAGGGGTGGTTTGAATGTTGAGGGTTTAACGTGTTTAGGGGTTCAGGTTTACGGGGTTTAGAGATTCCGGGGTTTAGGACTAAGGGGGGGGGGGCCTGAAGATGTCTTCCATGAGGGCGCCCAGGAATTTCGAATTTGTGCTAAAGGCTTCTTGTATTTGCCTGCCACTCAGACCCTAACTCCTAAACCTAGAAGCCCCAAACCCTGAACCCTGAACCCTAAACCCTAAACCCGAAAATGTGGATGTCCACGTCCAAGAGGCACGTCCCACACTAGAGTTTCAAATTGAACTCTAGAAATAACATCATATACCCTAGAATACTGTACCACTCTAACCCCTTAGTAAGATTGAGCGTTTAGGGTTTGGGGGTTATTTTACAAACCCTACATACCTACCCACAGAGTGTATAGGGATGGAGAGAGTCTATAAGGCTTCTGTAATTTAGGGAATCCATGCGAAGCTAGAATTTACGTGCACCCTAAGCCTGCGCGCGCCCGGGACCCTTCCACGCACGGAACCCTCCTCGCCGAAGCCGTGGAGGCTCTGAAAGTGACTATTTTGGCGGTCAAGTAGGGTTCAGGGCTTAGGGTTTAGGTGACTCGGGTTTAAAGGCGTAGGGTTTAAGTTTTTAGGGTTGACTAGTGTTTATAGCTTGGTAGCCCATTAATCACATTGAAATAAGGGTACCCTTTTCTGGGTGGGTTATTTTATACGGGAACCTTGAACCAGAAAATGGGAAAAGGGTACCACTGGGCTACCCTTTTACTAGGAGTTCGGGGATCCATCCAACGACCTGCCTGCGTCAGGGACACGAAGCTCAATGTCAGGAGGGCGAAGGACACTGTGAACATCAGCCTGTCTCAAGCAGAACCCTCCACCCCCTAACAAACCCTAAACCCTAAACCCTAAACCCTAAACCCTAAACCCTAAACCCTAAACCCTAAACCCTAAACCCTAAACCCTCCTAAACTCCCTACACGAACTCCAAAAACGAAACCCTGTAGGGCAACAGAGTAGGAGCTCTGGACCAAGCAGCCCCGAACTCCAGCCATCTTTGAGGCTGAAAACCGCTAGCTTCGTCTACACGGAGTGCCTGCTGCAACTAATACCGGGTTGGGGTTTAGGTGCTTTGTGCCCTAAACCCTAAACCCTAAACCCTAAACCCTAAACCCTAAACCCTAAACCCTAAACCCTAAACCCTAAACCCTCACAGCATGGCTTGGATCTAGCGTCCCCTAAACCCAACAAGGGAAGCAAACCCTACAGCTGTCGCTTTTGGGGTACCCTCAATACGAAATCACATGAGCTCCTAAACCCTAAACTCTAAAACCCTATAACCCTAACCCTATACTCCTGAACCCTAAACCCTTTCACCCCAAACCCCTGGAATCCTAAGCCCTGCACCCTAAACCCGAGTCATATGAGCCCCACAAAGGCCACAGTACCGGAGCCACCGTATCTTGAGTAATTACGACTATGATGACGACGGTTAGTTTTACCCTTCTGCATACTACCATTGTCACTACTATTACTATAGTTGCTACGATTATTGGTTCTAAACCCTGAACCCTAAACCCTAAACCCTCAGAGAAGCCCCCCATGGTGGTGCAGACTCACATGGCCTGCTGTCCACCAGGGCTCTCTCCATGACCATGCCAAAGAAGACCTTGCCGCTGTGGGGTTTCGGGCTTAGGGGTTTTGGGCGCTTAGGGTTTAGGGTTTAGGGGTTATGTTTTAGAGTGTTTCGATATGTATTTACGAACTGATTTTCGGATGTTTGGGTGTGTTTTGTTATTGTTGTTTGGTTTTGGCTTTTGTTGTGTTTTTTTGGGGGTGGCGGGACTGGGGATGGGTGGGTATGGATGGCCAGAACTCGCCAACCACGAGCAAGAGCTTCATTTGGAGTCCAGCGAGTAGGGTTTAGGGTTTAGGGTTTAGGGTTTGGGGTTCAGGGTTCAGGGTTCAGGGTTCAGGGTTTAGGGTTCAGGGTTCAGAGTTTAGGGTTTAGGGTTTAGGGTTTAGGGGTCAGGGTTTAGGGTTTAGGGGCCAGATGGTCCTTGAACCATGAGCTCAACCCTTTTGCCCCTGAGATGTCATGACGTTGCAACGCTAAGGACATGCAGGCAAGATGATGCAAGAGGGGTTGGGCTTAGGACCGAACCCCTATACCCTGACCCAAACCCGGACCTTAAAGCCTAATCCCTAACTCCTAACCCTAAAGTAGGGTTTAGGAGTAGCCTTCAACAGCCGCTCTGGAATTCTGGCTCTTCGGGTTTAGGGTTTAGGGAAACTGTATAGGGTTTTGGGGGGGTGGCTTTTCGGCCCGTTTAAGTTCTTGCTTTTGCTCTGGTGCCCTGGCCTCTTGTTTCTGCGCCGATGCCCTGGCCCCTGTGAAAGTTTGTTTTTGTTCTGACGCCCCCCAAAACCCTAAACCCAACACCCTAAACCTGGCCCCTTTGAATTTTGGCCTTGGCTCTGATGCACTGGCCCCCTCAAGTTCGTGCGTTTGCTCTGATACCTTGGCCCCTTTGGGGCTTTGCTTTTGCTCTGGTGCCTTGGCCCCTTTTGGAACTTGCGCTTTTGCTCTGGTGCCCTGGCCCCTTTCTATTTTCTTGGATTTTCCCCGATGTTTAGAGTTTGTTGTTTACTCCGACGGTTGGCCCCCCCTTTTTCTTGGCTTGTCTTCACCACTTGAGGCTACAGCTGCAAGACCCGGCTAGAACAAACCGGCTGCTTTTTTGGGTTCAGGGTTCGGGAGTACTTGAGACCCAGGCCGAGACGAAGGTGGACAGCATCAGGCCCATCAAAGCGCCGCAGACGACATCGGCGCCTGCATTCCCCAAACCAAACCCTTGAAACCTTAAAGCCAAAAACCCCTCCAAACCCAAAACCCAAAACCCAAACCCCAAACCCCAAACCCCAAGCCCCAAGCCCCAAGCCCCAAGCCCCAAGCCCCAAGTCCCAACCTCTAACCCCAAACCCCTTTAAAAAATAACCAATCAGCACAAAACGCAGCAAAACACCTTGACTCTGTGCTTCGCATGGTCCGTGGTCCAAAGTAGGGTGGTTTGGGGCAACTTCCATGAACCCTTTAGAGGGGACCCTCAGCCCGAAAAGACTTGGATAGAGGGCTACTGACGACATGATGCAGGTAAATCACTGCACGCCCTCAGTGATGTCCTACCTCAAGACTTGCGTTTCGGGCGTAGGGCCTATAGGGTTTCGGGCACAACAGAACTTGACTGCAACTGGGATAAGGGCCGTCCACGCCAGTCTGGACTAGGAGGGTGGTCGCGCGATCGTCAGCCTGAAGTGGCAGCGACTGCCTAGGGTTTAGGGTTTAGGGCTTAGGGTTTGAAGCGACGAACGATCGACCTACGTTCACTTGATGACACCAGGACTAGCGGTTGCTCACGACTCCCATGTCGAACTCTAAAGGTTTGTGTAGCCTATACTCCCCTTAGGACCTTAATAAAAATACTCTGTTTATATCCTCTTGGGTTTTTATCAGAACAAAAATAAAGAAAATCCCGAGGGGGATATAGTAGCGGACTTCATACTGCAGGAAGCTGACCCGACCTAGCTGAACGGTGAGCTGCAAACTGCACACCTCCGACTCTTGCCTGGTTCGCCTAAACCCTGAACCGAAATAAATCCGAAACCCTAAACCCGAAACCCTAAACCCCAAACCCGAAACCCGAAACCCTAAACCCCAGTCAGGAATCCATGTCATGCTTCTCAGGGATGGATCTTCGAAGCGGAACTTGATAGGTCCCTGACGATCTAAACCCAAGAGTAACCTAGGAATAGCAAGAGTTTTCAAGAATTTTGGAAGTTTGAGGTTTAGGACGGTTTAGGGTTCCTCATCCCCAAAAAAAGCTTGGCGTCCAGGAACCATCGTATCATAAGGGCAACTTTATTTTTTGGATAGGAGAACCCAAAACCAAAATACCACTGGGCTACCAAGAAAGCAACACTGATCATGGGTTTCCCTGCTACCTCCCCTCTATACTACCCCCCCTCCTAGGTTCTCCCCTTAGATCGCTGGGCTTAATTGTCCCTGAATTCCCTTCCTTCTGGGGGAGCCTAGGGGGGTGTAGAGGGGGGTAGTACCCCTAAACCCTAAACCCTAAACCCTAAACCCGATGGAGGGGGGTAGTAGGGGAACCCATAAACTGATGAGAGTCTCGCCCCCAAATATGTCCGTGCCTGGGCCAGGAACACCAGAACCAACGGTGCAACAAGCGCCAGGGCAGTGGACATGGTCCTCCGCAAGGGCGCACAGGCTCTGAGTCGAGGGATTCTGTGCATCTAGGGTCACTTCTCTAAGTTATGGTCCCTTCTTGGGGTTAGAGTTCTAAGCCGCTAAGGGTCTTTAAGGTGCCCCAAACGGAAAACGACCCTAAGAGAACTGACCACATGGGTAGTTTCCGCGGCTCTCTTCCGATGTCAACCGCCAAAGAAGTTTTGGAGAGATGTTGGCGACCCTTTAGGATAGTTACAGTGTCCCTTGATATGGGTTTAGGGTTTAGGGTTTAGGGTTTAGGGTTTAGGGTTTAGGGTTTAGGGTTTAGGGTTTAGGGTTTAGGGTATTATCGGGGTTAGGGTATTAAGGGCCCTTAACAGGGGACCCCTTCTCAAAAGCCCTTTATAAGCCCCATACTAAGGGACCATAGAACTACCCTTAGAAAGAATTGACACGCGGACTGGTCCTGTCGCTTAGCTTGGAAGAGAGCACGCCGTCCGACGACCTGGAGGGTGCTCTAGACCGACTAGGGAGTAGCTTTTGGGGGGGTTTACGAAAAAAGGGGACCCCCAATATAGATTCCCGGTAGGATCAATAGGGTACCCCCAATTTCGGAAACCCCTATTTGGGATACGAACAGAAGACTGATCAGAACCCTGCCTATCATAACCTGACCTTCCCTTTCCTTCCTTCCTTCCTTCCTTCATTCCTTCCTTCCTTCCATCTTTCCTTCCTTCTCTCCTTCTCCTCCTACCAGAGGCCTGTAGGGTTCAGGCTGAGGGTTTTAATAAGGTATCAGGATGGTAAGGATATCCGCAAGGCATGGTATTCTGGGAAGCCAGGTGGATGATTGGGGTTTAGGGTTTAGGGTTTAGGGTTTAGGGTTTAGGGACACAGCGCAAAGGCTCCAACGCGTACTGCTCGGCCGTCCCGTACTGCGTGCTCCGTGGCTCCCGCGGCCTTAGGATGAACTGAAAGATGAGCAGGGTTGAGGGTTGAGGGTTGAGGGTTGAGGGGTTGAGGGTTGAGGGTTGAGGGTTGAGGGGTTGAGGGTTGAGGGTTGAGGGGTTGAGGTTGTAAGGATTAGGGTTGAGGGTGTAAGGATTCGGGGTTAGGGCTTAGGCCCCAAGATGTCCCAAGAAATCAAACATCCGAGGCCTGAAGCCTTGAAAGCAAGCCCAATATCCTTTGCACCGAAACGCCAGAACTTGGTACCCCAGTAACCATATTATAATTTATAATGGGCTAATTTGTAAGGGATATAAGGGAACCTTGAACCCAAAACAAAAAAGGGGAAAAGGGTACCGCTGGGCTACCAAGAGGATGAAGTACTCAAATCCTTTCAGTGCTGCTGTCGGCTTAGGGTTTAGCGTTTGGGGTTTCGGAGTCCTGCGTTAGACGAGGCACTCCAGACCTGTGGCTGATTCGCAGCAGGGCCGCAAGAAACCCTAAACCCTAAACCCTAAACCCTAAACCTAAACCCCAAACCCTAAGCCCTAAGCCCTAGACCCCCATATGAACTCGCGTTAAGGGCTGAGAGCCGCACTCCGGCTGCAGGACGCTGGGGAGGATGGCTCCAAAGGCCGCCTCAGTGTGTAGCCTAAACCCTAAACCCTAAACCCTAAACCCTAAACCCTAAACCCTAAACCCTAAACCCTAAACCCTAAACCCTAAACCCCAATCGTTCACGAGTCTTGATTGAGGTCTTGGAGGTCTTGGAGAGCATAGGGAGCTTTGAATCATTGCAGGGTTTGAAAGGTCAGAAATTGGGTTTGGGGGGCGGGCGTTTGCTGAGAATGCACTTGGGTGCTTCTACAAATAGAGTTGTACTCTGCTGAGGAGTTGCCACGAAAAAAAAACAGTATGGGTGTTTCCGAAAATAGGGGTACCTTTTTTAGGGGTCCCTTTAAGGTACTCTAGTCTATTTTGGGAAAAAAGGGGTACCCCAATTTTGGGAAATGCCCAGTATGGTTCAACATTGGTTTCTTGAGGGTATCTTAGAGTGACCCTATCGGGGTCTGAGAGAGGTGACCCTATCAAGGTCTGAGGGGCCTTTTCTGGGCCTACGTGGAGGCCGTGCTGTGAGGGCGTGTTAGCCGTCGGGCTGTGACGCTTTGGGCTCAGGGATTGCGGGTGCTGAGTTGTAAGCTCCAACCCCCAAACTCTCAGTTTAGTAGTTCGGGAACTATCTTGCAAAAAGGGCACCCTTTCTTTGGTTGGCTACTTATAAGGGAACCCAGAACCCCAAAAAACGGTAAAGGGTACCACTGGGCCCGGATAGCATCCAAGGAAATGTCATCGGCGAAGTCCTGCTTCCAACTGGAGTCCGGCGTGCCCAAGGGGCACTCTTTCTCGAGCAGCTTCTCCGTCATCTCGGCCAAGACGAGCGACGGGGTGGCAAGCAAGAAGACCATGCACTCCATGAAGACTTCGGGATCTCTGAAGCCATCGAAGGAGGACCTCTCTGGCACTCCCTCACGTTGCGGAATGTCGTCGCTTGAGCTCGCTACGTGGTTGATGAGAACAGCCTTCTTGGACACATAAGCCTCCGGAAGAGGGCTCCCACAGCTTTCAAACACTGCATGCCGGCAGCTAAGAGCTAATACAGGGGTCGGAATATATAAAAAAAGAACTCATAATGTTCCTTATGGTCCCTTTGTAACTATATCATAATGACGCCCAAAACCCTACTCTGATTATTCAGGCCCCTGGGCTTTGGAGGATCCAGTGTTGAACGGGCTGGGGAATGCATGGTTTAGCAGGGCGGCTCTATGGCTCCAGGGGAAACTAGGGTACTTATCAGCAATCCCTAAACCCTAAACCCTAAACCCCAAACCCCAAACCCCAAACCAAAGAATCCTTACGAGCACTTCGGACTTCAGAGGGTAGCTGCAGTGCACGCCGCGGCACTGTGTTCCACTCCCCGGTCCAGCCCACCTCCTGGCACAGCAGGGCCCCAGTTTAGGGTTTAGGGTTTAGGGTTTAGGGTTTAGGGTTTAGGGTTTAGGGTTTTGGGATGTAGGGTTTAGGGTTTCTTTGCTGTCCGAAAGCCTACAAGCCCCAAATGCTAAACCCTAAACCCTAGACCCTCAACCCAAACCCTAAACCCTAAACCACGCTAAGCAGGTCCTTCGGCTTTTCGACATCTCCATCGGCAGTCCTTTGGTTTCGCTTGGGGCGAAGGTTTGGGCGACTGCAAATGCTAGGGAGCTGGCGCTTGGGATGTCGAGGTTTAGGGTTTAGGGTTTTGGGGTTTGGGGTTTAGGGTTCAGGGTTAGGGTTTTGGGGCTTGGGGTTTAGGGTTTAGGGAGTGCCTCTCCCCCGCGCCCCCTTTGCCCATGCCCAAGACTACGTCGATTTCAGCCAGCCAAAAATCAGTACGTCGTACCCGACTGTACTGCACAAGTCCCAGTTGAGGACCACGGCTTTCTCTCAAACCCTAAGCTCAAAAGTTCGAAGCCCAAGGTCTCTGACACCCTAAGAAACGGTGAGCCTTAAACCCTAACCCCCCCCCCCCCCAAAAAAAAAAAAAGAAAAAAAACTCTCAACAACCATAAGCCCACGAAAACCCCAAGGCCCTCTCACTCCTAAACCCTCAACCTCGTCAACCTCCTGAAGCCCTTTAGGGTTTAGGGTTTAAGGTTTAGGGTTTAGGGTTTAGGGTTTGGGGTTTAAGGTTTAAGGTTTAAGGTTTAGGGGTTAAGGTTTAAGGTTTAAGGATTAAGAATTAGGAACCCCCTGAAACAATCCGGCACCAATCTGGAGCCCCGAGCCCGCCAGCTGCGTCGGCTCCGCTGGGAGTGTAGCGCAGGCGGGCCCTCCGCGGGTTAAAGCCCGAAAGCTGTTCAGGGCTAGGGTTTAGGGTTTAGGGTTTAGGGTTTAGTGTTTACGGTTGAGGGTTAGAGCCCTAAGGTTTAGGGTTTAGGGTTTAGGGTTTAGGGTTCAGGGTTCAGGGTTCAAGGTTCAGGGTTTTAGGGTTCACGGTCAGGGTTGAATCCACAGTCTGCACTAAACCCGTGTTGAGAGTTGATAGTGTATAGGGTTGGGGGCTTGAAACCAGGGTTTCAACAGTGTCGTCTTCCTGAAGTTCGTACAAGATGCGCCTTCAGGCGACTTCGCAGGAATGGCCACCCTAAACTCTAAACCAACCCTAAACCCTAAACCCTAAACCCTGAAGCCTGAAGCCTATAAAATGTTTAAAGAGCTGCTGGGGGCCAGAGGTACAGGATTGGCTTTTTTCGAAGGGTGGGGTTGAGGGTTGAGGGTTGAGGGCTGCGGGCTGAGGGTTGAGGGTTGAGGGTTGAGCGTTGGGGAGTTTTTGACCATTTTGGGTTTTGGGGTTGAGGGTGGTGTAAAACTAGGAGCAGGGTGCAGTGCGACTGGGTGTCCTAGCCCTGTTGGGCGTGAACATCCTTTGCCCTTTACCCTAACCCCTAAACCCTAAACCCTAAACCCTAACCCTAAACCCTATACTACAAATTTTAGACCGACCCCCCACGTGGCTGCGCCTAAGGTCGCGCGCATCACAGCCGGCCAGGTCGCTTCGGGCCTCGCTCGTTGGCTGAAGACCTCTACTCAGCCCATGCCAGCTGAGGGTCTTCATCCTAAACCCTAAACCCTAAACCCTAAACCCTAAACCCTAAACCCTAAACCCTAAACCCTAAACCCTAAACCCTAAACCCAGGATGTGGGATTTGCACGTAGAGGGGTGGGCTGACATGTGCCCCTCAGCGCACGGCCCGCAGGCCCAGAATCAGGAAGCAAAAGCAGGACCTCGGCGTGCGCTTCTTGAGGGTTCAGGGTTTAGGGTTCAGGGTTCAGGGTTCAGGGTTTAGGGTTTAGGGTTTAGGGTTTAGGGTTTAGGGTTTAGGGTTTAGGGTTTAGGGTTTGGGACGCATGTCAATTGGGATGTTCCCGGAAATTGTTCACATCCACTTTGTACTAACAATCCTTGTGGCTGGTAAGTGGCTGGAAGGGGCCCAGATCCCTCAAGAGAAGTGGCTTGTGCGGGGCGAGACACCTGACTGCAAATCCATTGTAAGGGACCTGGTCTTGCACAGCCTCTCACTGTAAGAACGCCAAATTGATGTACGTCGCCTTATTCCAGGGACCCCATCTTACATGGTCTCTCCGTGAAGAACACCTAAACTTGCGTATTTTCTTACCCTGGGACCCATTCTTACATGGCCTCTCTCTGAAAAAACACCGAAACTTACGAACTCTCCTCCTTAACCAAGGGACCCGATCTTACATGGTATCGGCACTGAATTTATAGGCACCTGGAAATTGCTTAGGCCCCTTCCCCTAAACCCTAAACCCTCAACCCCATACCCTAAACCCTGACCCCTAAGACCTAATCCCGAAAACAACTCGTCATGCGCTTGTAAGTCGAGGGCAGGCCGTCGCAGGCGGCAAATTGCCAGGTCTTGTCCGTCGCCTTTGCGAAGTGACACCCCCCTCCCCCACCCCCACAAAAAAAGAAAGAAAAACACATTCTTCCTTAATCAGGGCAATAAAGGGATTATGATCTTGTATTTTCGTTTGAGGATTCTTAAGCAACTAGTAGGATAGGGTTCTCGCGGTTCTCGCGGTGGTGTATACTATCGCACGGACACGATCTTGGCAAGTGGTCAGGCTCCCGCATTGCCCCTAAACCCTAAGCCCTAAGCCCTAAACCCTAAACCCTAAACCCTAAGAGCAGGCCCTAATTTCTTGTAAAAGCTACGGGGGATGAAGGTCTGGGCACTTATGTCTGATAATGAGCCGGAAAAGTAAACAAAGCAACAAAAAACAACCGAACAGGTTTAGGGTTTAGGGTTTGGGGTTTAGGGTTTAGGGTTTAGGTTTTAGGGTTTAGGGTTTAGGGTTATCAGCCTGGAAGACAGCTTAGAAAAAACAGACACACACACACACATAGAACACGTGCCATGAACATCATCTAAACCCTAAACCCTAAGCCCTCAGCCCTGAGCCGTAAACCCTAAACCCGAAACCCTAAACCCTAAACCCTAAACCCTAAACAAATATGCCAATGGTTTCGGTTTTCAGTGTGTGTGTGTGTGTGTCTTACACTCGAAGCCCTGGCTACACGACATTTGCAAAAGAGCTGGCTCCAGCTTCCTTCTATCCGAGTGCATACATGCTCACTTCTCGAAAACATGGTCCCTTTTGGGGGGGGGGGGGGGGGGGGGGCGTCTATTGCAAGGCGGCCCCTCTTATTTAGGGTACCTAAAGGGACCATGATTTAGAGGACTGACCGTATGGTTCTGTGGTGCATTAGCATGGTCACGGAGTTAATTCCGAGCACCCCAACAAAAAAAACCTTCAGCCCAACTCAACCGCTGTAAAGTCCAGTTCTGAGTAGGGGGTTAGGGTTTAGGGTTTAGGGTAATGAGCCTGAGCGCATTGCCAAGCCTGACTTGCCAAATCAAGATCTGGATTTTGGGATGTGTCCCCTTTTACTAACCTTAACAGGGTTTGGGGTTTAGGGTTTAGGGTTTTAGGGTTCAGGGTTTTGGGGTTTGGGGTTTCGGGTTTTGGGCGGGGTACTATCTGGATCTGCCACAGCTGAGACTGGCGCGTAGATCAGAAGCATGACCCGGATGACCCATGCCAGGTACGCCCCTGGTACGAAAACATTCCAGAAGATGTCTGGACCCCAAACCCTAAAAAACCCGAAACTCTAAAAATCCTAAAAACAAAACCTATAATCAAAACCCATAAACCCTATATAAACCCAATAATTATTAAGCCCAAGATCCTAATCCTCCATATTACCGCGCTGTTCAGCCTAAAGCCCCACATCGCGAGGATGATTTCGGCTTGGCGTGTGACAAGTTCACCCTAAACCCTAAACCCTAAACCCTAAACCCTAAACCCTAAACCCTAAACCCTAACAGTACTTAGGGTTTAGGGTAAAGGTTTAGGGGGTCCAGCCCTCAAGCCAGACTGTCGGAAGGCCACCTTGAACCTAGGTTTAGGGCGTAGTCTTTAGGGTTTAGGGTCTCGGCTGTGAGGGGCTCCAGGTTTGGGGTTTAGGGTTTAGGGTTTAGGGTTTCGGATTTAGGGTTTGGGGGATGGGTGTAGAAATATACACACAATACCGGCTTTCTGACTTCCGCAGCAGCGAGTCCATGTCGGACACACACGAGACAAGCAACTGTCTTCATGTATCTTCATGCTTGTCTTCCTTTTTGTTCACTAAGGACCCATGTACGTATCTATAGGTACATGGACCCTTGGGGGTTTGCTATTATGCATAGTCGTGTGTCTATCTATCTGTTGAGTACTCTTCGATATCAGACTTAGATGTTATCGATTTCGATGGGTTCTTTGAGGGGGGGCCGAGACCCCAAAGTGAAAACCAAAATCCGTAGAAGTCCCAGGACCAGCGGTGAACCCGGAACCCTAATTCTACATCCGGAAGCCAAAATCCCAGACCCCAAACCCTACTCTGAACCCTAACCCCAAACCCTAAACTCCGAACCCTAATTGCCAAACCCTGATGTCTGCCTTGAACTCTGAGCCCTGTAAACCCTGGCCCCAGGAACTCCCCACCCCCCCCTCCAGCCCCCCGAAGTTTCAGGGGCCCTTAATATGGTCCCTAACCTCCTTTAAAGAGCTCTGATGTATGGGTCCTGAATTTGTATAGGGTATATACGGGGTAAATAAGGGGTTTAGGGAAAAAGGGCCTATGCTAAGGGACCATGTACCCCAAAAACCCTAAACCCCAAACCCTAAACCCTGAACACTAAACCCTTAAACCCTAGGGCCTAGCAGCACCAGCAGCATCTGAAAGCCACCATCCTCATGGCTTCGGGGGCCCTCCCAGGGACACCTCAGACCAAAAACAGACTTCCTCCCTTCAAGTTTAGGGTTTAGGGTTTAGTAGCGTTTAGGGCTTGTGAGGATTTTAGATCGGCAGAGGACTGTTGCCCCAAAACAACCACTGCCGGATCATCCAAAATCCTTGGGGGGCCTCGATGAGGACTGTGGGGGAGTCCGCCGAATGCCGATTGCCACACTGCCATGAGGGGCGTAAGGTTTAGGGCTTCTAGGGCTTACAGGGTTTATAGGGTGTAGAGGGTTTGTAGGGTGTAGAGGGTTTATAGGGTTTACAGAGTTTCTAGGGTTTATAGGAACTTAGAAGGTTTGAGAGGGTTTCTAGGGTGCATAAGGTGTATAGGCTTTAGGGCATAAAGCCTCTAAAAAGCAGCCTTCTTGCTATCGTTTCAAGGCCCCCACCACGCTGTGAGTATGGCCGAGACGAAGAAGGTCTTGCTTCCCAGCCTGATGCGCAGTCTCTGGGAGTCTGTGATGAGGGTTTTTTTGAGGGCTTGCCCTAAACCCTTTAAACCACCCTAAACCCTGAACCCTAAACCCTAAACCCCTGATCCCTGAGAGCCTGAAACCGAGTTCTGGTTGGGAGTCACAGATGTCACCTTGAGACCTCGACCCTAAATCCAAGACCCTGCAAACCCTCATAAGAGCGGCAAGACGACCATCAGCGCACTGACTCCGACCCAAACCCTAAACCCTAAACCCTAAACCCTAAACCCTAAACCCTAAACCCTAAACCCTAAACCCTAAACCCTAAACCCTAAACCCTAAACCCTAAACCTAGGGCTCAGGGAAGATCAGCTCCAGGCTGGCCGATGGAAGTCCTGGCGCGCGATTTTATTTGTGTTACTGTTTAGGGTTTAGGGTTTAGGGTTGAGGGTCTAGAGGGTCACTGTTCTAGCATTCATAGTCATTAGGGGGTTCCAGGCTTAGGAAAAAAACCCACCCGCCCAAAGAATCCCATAACATTAAGAAAATATACAATTTTCATCCAAGGACTTGCCTTAATCGACGAAGGGCTTGCCTTATCCGACGAAGGACTTGCCTTATTCGACGAAGGACTTGGCTTATTCGACGAAGGGCTTGGCTTATTCGACGAAGGGCTTGGCTTATTCGACGAAGGACTTGGCTTATTCGACGAACGGCTTGGCTTATTCGACGAAGGGCTTGGCTTATTCGATGAAGGACTTGGCTTATTCGACGAAGGGCTTGGCTTATTCGACGAAGGACTTGGCTTATTCGACGAAGGACTTGGCTTATTCGACGAAGGACTTGGCTTATTCGACGAAGGACTTGGCTTATTCGACGAAGAACTTGGCTTATTCGACGAATTCATTAGGGCTTAAATAAATAAATAAATAAATAATATATATATATATATATATATATATATATATGAAGAGAGGTTTAGGGTTTAGGGTTTAGGGTTTAGGGTTTAGGGTTTAGGGTTTAGGGTTTAGGGTTTAGGGTTTAGGGTTTAGGAGGGGAGGGGGGGAGCAGAGCCCTAGGCACTGCAACCCAGAGCTAGGGTTTAGGGTTTAGAGTTTAGGGTTTAGGGTTTAGGGGTTAGGGTTTAGGGTTTAGGGTTTCGGGTTTGGGGGTTTCGCAGTGGTTTATGGCCTATTCAACACTGAACCCCTACACCTCGAATGCGTTAAGCGTCTAACACAAGCCGAAAACTTGAAGCTTCACACACAACAAAGATACACCTAAACACGTTGAAGCCTACAACCTGCATGTTTACCCTAAACCCTGAAGCCGACACCTTAAACCCAAAAGCCTAAACCTCGACCATCCACCCCCCCCCCCCCCACCCCAAGAAAAAAAAAAAGTGATAACAAAAAACAACAAAAACCTGAACTTGAAATCCTGAAGCCGCGGCCCAATTCAGGGGGTTCTTTATGGGGATTGAGAAAAAAAACAACAACAAAGGCCAAAGTTCAGGCTTTAGGGAGTTAGGGTTTAGGGACTTAGGGGGATTTCGGGTTGCATAATCACAATAAGGGCACCCTTTTCTTGGTGGTTGGGCACTTTGTAAGGGAATCTTGAACCTTAACCCCCCCCACCCCCACGCCCCCAAAGAAAAAACAAAAGGGGAAAAGGGGTACCACTGGGCTACCCTAAACCCTAAACCCTAAACCCTAAACCCTAAAAATCCCCAAGCAGAAGATCCTCAATCATCAGGGTTCAGGGTTTGAGGTTTAGGCTGGAATCGTCCCAGAGGTGGAAGAGCTTCAGGCAAAACCCTAAAGTCGGCCCCTGCTCCCTCTGATACTAACCCTCCTTACTTGGGAATCTAACAGGGGGTACTGATTAAGAACTGTTAGGGTTTAGGGTTTAGGGTTTAGGGGTTAGGGGTTAGGGTTTAGGGGTTAGGGGTTAGGGTTAGGGTTTTAAACATCCCAACCCTCGAGCCAAAACTTCCCCCACTTCCCTGTCCTGAGAATGGAGCTGCCGAAGAGGGCAGCGTCGAAGCCCATCTTGTACTACACTTGTCCCGCAGGGGCAGGCTATGGTCCGGAGCCCCCCGGGCTGAATTCACCTGAGTCCTTTTTGGTGCTCCGTACGAGAGCGTATCAGAAGTGCACCATAGAAGGTGAGATGTCCCCTCAACACCTGGGACTTCATGTCGACCCCACATGTCACATTAACAGCTGCATTGCTGCATCCCGGATTTAAACCCTAAACCCTAAACCCTAAACCCTAAACCCCGAACCCTAAACCCTAAACCTCTAAACCTGACCATTTGAGGCAGGCCATGGCTGCCGCGGCAAGTGCGGGGCTCCCTTGTGCCGCAGCAGCCCGTATGTACAGTTCGCTATGCAGATGAGAAGCCACACTTTGCGGCTCTTGAGCCAAGCCGCGGTAAGGCAAACCCATAAGGCCCAAACGAACACGAACGTCTAACACAAGAACCCTAAACCCTAAACCCTAAACCCTAAACCCTAAACCCTAAACCCTAAACCCTAAACCCTAAACCCGAACCCTAGCACCCAGACATAAACATCGACCACACCCCGCATGTCAAGGCTTAGGGGCGACAGGGGGCTTGGCATTTTAGGCCCGCTGTCCTGAGGCTTGGTGATCAGGTGCGTATCTTAGTTGTCCAGTACCTAGGGGTTTTAAAGGTTAACCTTTGGGATTTTAAGGGGAATATATTAACCCAAAAAGGTTAAAGGTTACCCACTCTACTACTAAGGTATTGGCAACAGTTAGTGCTTTGGGTGGTTGTTTCGAGTTCTAAAGGAAAGCTGTTGGCAATATTCCGCCCCACACTCTCCCTGGAGCCCATCAACCCTGGCCCATGGACCCCGAATCTACCCCTAAACCCTGCGACTTTAACCCCGAAACCCTAAACCCCAGACCCAAAACCCTAAACCCTAAACCCTAAACCCTAAACCCCAAACCCTAAACCCTAAACCCTAAACCCACGGCTTGCAAGCCGGCTTTTTGCTTCTGGTGCGGCCGTTGCTCGCTGTCGGAATCAGTGGAGTACCCAGCAGACCAGGGGAAGCCTGTGACCTGCCTGAGGTTTGGAGGCTATAGGGTTTGGGGTTTAGGGTTTAGGGTTTGGGGTTTAGGGTTTAGGGTTTAGGGTTTGGGGTTCAGGGTTTGGGGTTTGGGGTTGAGGTCTAGAGTGTAGGGGTGCAGGAGTTTAGGGGCTTCAGGGGTATGGGGCTTTAGGTGATTGAAGAACAGGAGAACTCTATGTTTGGGCGGTCTTATGAGGGAAACGAAGACCCCCCGGCAACAACGGGCGAGTAAAGACATGGGTGTCCTACGGTTGGACATTTGGAGCTTGAGTTTCAGTAACAAGGGTTTAAGAGGTTTCCGGAGGCTAGTTAGTCAGTGCGAATAAGTGTTCAGAGTTCCCGAAACCCTAAACCCTAAGCTTAACCCTAAACCCCAAACCCTAAACCCCAAACCCTGAACCCCAAGCCCCTAGGGTAAGAGGCTTCATTTGTTTGGGACGATGAATTGAAGGACCGAGGCATGCTTCTTTCAGGGAATAGGACAGGTGCTCTGAAGCTGTCCGGTCTAGGCTCGCGACCAGAACCCTAACCCTAAACCCTAAACCCTAAACCCTAAACCCTAAACCCTAAACCCTAAACCCTAATCATACCCTCGGCAGTCTTAGGCATTTCGGCCTGAGCTTGCTGCACGCAAGGCTTGCGTGAGCCTCACGGATGTAGGGATCCTCTCAAGCAGGTGATGGGACGAGCATGGGCAGAAGCAGGGCGTCGACTCATCCTGTACTTCCAGGTATCTCGCTGATTGTGCCCTCAGGGGTTAAGTTTTTCTTTTCTTTTAATTTTAAGTTGGTAGCCCGGTAACCATATTCATAACAAGGGCACCCTTTTTTGGGTTGGTTTTCTTTTTTTCAGGGAAACTCATAACCCAAAAAAAAGGGGTAAGGGTACCACTGGGCTGCCAAGTGTAGGTTTCTAGCAACCCTGGTCCCTGGAGGCAGTCATGCCGGAAAAGAAAGACCAAAAGTCCCTTAGAAGACTCCTAAACCCTAAACCCTAAACCCTAAACCCTAAACCCTAAACCCTAAACCCTAAACTCTAAACCATTCACCCTTCGAAGACAAGCTTGCGACTTGCTTGCTGGCCAGCCTCGCCGCATTCTCACTGGAACCTGCCCTGAGCCGGCGAACCTCTCCCATCTGCCGTCATACCCTTCGATGCAACCCTAAACCCTAAACCCTAAACCCTAAACCCTAAACCCTAAATCCATGAAACTGCAGCTGGCTGCTGGGGTATCTTGGCTGCAGTGCGAGTGGGAAAACCATATCACATCAAGCCTCGAACCCTGGGATACTTCGGAGTCCCCAACCCCGCCTCCCTGCCAAACATTGTTCAGGTTGTACCTTGGGCCCTTTCAGGTTGCACGGTTGGGTTAGAACAAGGGCCAGATTAAGGAGTACGGAAACTCATTGGAGCCTCTAGGGGTAATACCAGTCTTCAGTCCCTTGACATTTGATTAAAAAACCCTAAACCCTAAACCCTAAACCCTAAACCCTAAACCCTGAACCCTAAACCCTGAACCCTAATAATTAGGGCTTTAGGGATCTCGCACCCTATCGGCTCTACGCCTCGGAATTGCCAGACCTGCTCCAAAGGCTTCATACTCAGAACACTGCTCCTGGGGTTTAACAAGGGTTTCGGGGTCGCGCAAGGCAGAAGAAAGCCGATGGGTCAGGGCAGACGCCTTCAACCACCCGAAGCCCTAGACTCTGAATACCAAGCCCTGCGCCAAACGCTCCCAACCAAGCCCATGCCTGGGATTTCGGGTCCCCAAACCTAAGCCCTAAACCCTGGAACCCTTAAACCCTTACACCCTGAAACCTAAACCCTAAACCCTAAACCTTAAACCCTGAAACCCTAACCGTAAACCCCAAACCTGGTAGAACGGCTTCAGGAAAATTCTGCACGGCAATGTTCACTGTCTTGTTCCCTACTATGTCGTCCTTTCGGCACCGACCATCCGAAGCCCCTGGTAGGGCATGATCTTGCAAGTGTATCTACGTATATGTATAAATCTATGTGTATATGTATATATATATACATGTATATATATATATGTATGAATTATATATATATATGAATTATAGATATAAGTACGTCTGTATACATGCACATATATGTATATGTTCATATGTGTGCAGCTACCTGTGTGTATGTGTAGGCATTTACACATGCACACGCTCATGTACTTTAGAATATAGCATGATTTCCGAGGTACTACATATTGATTTCCGAGGTACTACATATATATATATATATATGCTCACCCCCCCCCCCCCCCCCAAGATCTACGTTTACAGGTTTCCAGAAACCAGAAAAGGTCAAAAACGCCAAAGTCAGGATGCCAAAAAGCCCAAACCAAAAAACAACAAAACCAAAAAAAACATTCTTATGAGACTCTTGGACAGGTGAAACCAAAACAACCCAAACCCAAAAAACCAAAACAAAAAACAAAAAAAACAAAACCAAAAAAAAAAAAAAAAACATTATTTTCGAACTCTTGACGACACGGGGTATTGATTCCCTTTGTCCAAGAGTCTCGGAATAATGTGTTTTTTGTTTTTTGGTTTTGGTTGTTTTGGTTTAGGGGTTTTTGGTTTTTGGGGTTTTTTGGTTTCCAAGAGTCTCAGAAAAATGTTTTTTTTGGTTTTGTTTTTTTTTTGGCTTGTGGGTTTTTGGTTTATCTGATTTTGTGTTTCTCTTGTAGAGAATAGTGCGTGCCCAAAACCTAGGGAAATACTGTGCTTTTTCAGATGCATAGTGCCTGTACTAGGCAAATATTGAACTAATACTGTACGAAAGAGGCCGAGTGAACTATCCTAGTTTTTGGTCACTCATAGAATACCCATTGCAACATGTAGCGATTGCCCTCGGCAATCTAGACAAATACTGCAATTTTAGAGACAAGATGCTGTTTTGCAAAGCAATTCGTTCTGTCTGTTTCTAGAGAAGCAGTGCTTGTCCCAAGCCCAGGGAAAAACTCTTCAAAGCACATAGTGTGGCAAAAATATTGAATTACGAACTCTTAAACAGCATAGACAAGCTTACAAATGCATAATTCTCGTAGAGATCTTATAAAGAAACACGACTTTAGCACAGCGATTATGTGTACTAGTTTTGATTTTAATAACAAGCAGTTTTCATCACATAGTGATGAAGCACTGCTCGGGCACTAATTAAATACCACTTGTACAGATGATATTCTGTCTCAAGCGCACAACTCGCACAGACAAGCTCAAGAAGACATATTCTTTCTTAGAAGCCCATTTGCCTCGTGAAGATCATAGTACTCGAAAATTCCAAATCCTCAAGCCTTGGGAGAATCTCTGGCGAAGTTTGGGCTTTTGGTTTTCAGGTGTTTCGGCACAAATAATGCAATTTTCCTAAGCAAAGCTTTTTTCCAAGCAAAATGTTGATTAACTAGGCAAATTAAATACTATTGAAACACCTGGTACATTTTAAAAGCACACCAATGCAATACTCATTGCATAGAAATTCAATACTAAGTACATACTGGTTTTGTCGATTTAGTATGAATTCCTCTTTTCAGCTTGCTTGGAGTGAGCAATGAAGGACAGCTATTGGGACACATGCCGCAAGCCGCCCGATAAGCAAGACTTGGAGTTTGCAGAACCCCCGGAACGCAGCGGACATATTTTACTACGGAATCAATGAGTACCACAACAGTCGGCATGATAATATTCTATGGTTAGTGGTAGGAATTACCCTGCTATTGGCTGTTATTGTTGTATGAGAAAGAGACCCTTTCCTGGGAATCTTGAAAGAAGCCCCGTCAGACCCGGTGTTGATACGGGCAGTTCAGCACGTTTACTAAGACAACAGTACAAAAACACAAAAAACACGAGTTTTTTGAGGTGTTAACAGCAAAACTGCTATACCTTCCAGGTTTTTTGGCTTTCGGAGTATAGAAGGTCACATAATTTTAAACC